TGGAAACAAAGTCTTTGCAAATAGGGAAGGGTGGAGGGGGTGAAGGGAGGGCAGGGGAAGGGGAAAAAAAATAAGAACCAAGATACTCATATAATGGTACAAGTTCCCACTGATGAATGTAACTGTATTTTATACCTAAAATGCACCAATAAACTTAATGGGAAAAAATAAAATAACAACTGCATCGACAAAACAAAACAAAACAAAACAAAACTAAACTGAACTTCTTCTCCGGCCAATTGCTGACATCTTTTTTGATCTCAGCCTGTCTGTTTCTTGACAGAATAAATCAGCCTTTTCTTCACATAAAGCCTATGTCCAGATCTCTCGTGCACTGTTTGTAACACTCATTCTGACAAAAAGAACAGATACATAAATTTATTATAGTCACCTTCCTTCTTCAACCACTTTCCTTTTCCCTCTGCACAATGCTAACATCAGGGACTGGCTCCTTTGGTCTTTTGTGTCTGCTCACAGGAATGTCCTGGGGCTTCCTTCCTTGTGAGCTGCTTCCTCCCTCCCAGGCTAGAACCCTCCAGGCATGGAGTCTCAGGGGCTGCATCTAGATCACCTGGGGCCCCTGCCAACTCCAATCAGGATTTCAAAAGATAATTTTCAGGAAAGGTGAACAAAATTTGTATTCATTCATCCATTCATCAAGGATGTACCTAGCACTGTTTTAGCCACTGAAGATTCAGGGGAGAACAAAACACCAACACTGGGACCCTGGAGCTCACAAGGACTTTGCATTTTAATGTGGGTAACTGGCCCATAAAAATAAGGAAATGAGCAAAATAATTTAATATGTTCTGGTTCTCTTCTTCCTTGAAATTGGCCCAGGCCACAACTTTAGAGTATCTAAAGTAGAAATATGAGCAGATATGAGATAGAGTGTAGTTAAGACTATAAATGTTTGAGAATTTCCAGGACGCTTTTAGAAGAAAGCACAGCAGTGTTCGAATATAGTAGTAAATAAATCAACCACAACTTGCCCTATATGAAGTATTAATGTAAGGAGGAAAATAATAAACAAGTAAGCAAGCAATATTTTACAGCAGAGGTCCACAAGTTATCAACTGAGGGCCAAACTGGCTGGCTGTCTTTGTAAGTTTTCTTTGTTTCTATGTATTCCATGGCTGCTTGTAAAGGCAAAGCTGAGTATCCATAACAGACTTTACGAGCCACACAGCCTGTTTACTACATTGCCCTTCACAAAAAATGTTTGCCAATCCCTGGCTTACAGATAAATCATTATAAATAAATGTAGAAAACAGAGATATGATTCCTCATCTTGCTCTTCAATTCCCCATTCTCCACTGGCTACCTTGCCTTTAGCCCTCTTTGAGTTAAGAGTGGGGGAGAAAGTAGGGAGACATGGGTAGAGAAAATGGCAAAAAGGATTTTACTGGATTCGTAGTTATTTTGTGGGACAATAATCATGCCATTTTATTTTGGGTTTTTAAATCTTATTACTTTGTGCTTGTTCTTTGCAATGATTATATCACAAAGAGCCTAATTCTCTAAGTCAAGAAAAGAAAACATGTAAGTAATTATAGATGGGCAGACTCAAAACATCAAGGAT